ATCTCTAATCTCTGCAACACTCAATTTCCTCTCTCAGATCACCACCTCTTATCATTTGTTCTCAATAGCCACCTACTCCATCATCCTCAACCTAACCCCCTTCAACTAAGAAGAACTCTGAATTACATTGCCCTCCAGCAGCTATCTGCTAATATTGATTCCCAACTTCTATCCATCCCTACTTTCTCCTGTCCCTCACAGGCTATCTCCTCATATAACACTGCCCTCACCTTTGCCCTGGACGCTGCAGCCCCACTCCAAACATGCACTTTGAGGAGAACACGCCCCCAACCATGGCACACTAAATCAACACTCTACCTGCAGAGATGCCCCCATTCTGCTGAATGCTGCTGGAGAAAGTCATGCACCCAGTCTGACTTTCTCCACTACAAATTCATGTTGCGTTGATACAGCACAGCCATTGCCCTTGCCCTGAACAAACAGTCATACTTTTTCTCCCTCATTAGCTCATGCCCTCACAATCCCAGGCATCTTTTTAATAACTTTAACTTCCTTCTTTGCCCTGCTGTGGCCACCCCCCAAACTAACCTTACAGCCGGTAGCTTTGCATGCTACTTTACCAGCAAGAACGAACAGCTAAGGAAAGAATTCTCCCCACCTTGCCCCTCTCTTTCTCAACCACACCTAGGTCCTGCCTTTCCTACCTTTTAGACTTTCTCCCAGGCTACTGAACAAGAGGTGGCTGTTCTTCTTCTTTCCTCTTGACCCAACACTTGCCCGCTTGCTCCTGTCCTGTCTCACCTTATCAGATCTCTCTCCTCTTGTCTTGTGCCTTCCTTAACACACATCTTCAACTGCTCTCTCTCTCTTCTGGTGTTGTCCCTGTTGCCCTTAAATATGCTACTGTAGTACCTATCTTAAAAAAAAAAAAAAATCTCTTGACCCACCCTCCCCTTCTAACTATTGACTCTTATACCTGCTCCCTTTTTCCTCAAAGCTTCTGGAAAGACTTGTCTTGACCTGTCTGACTTGCTTCCTCAATTCCAACTCTTTCTTTGACCCTCTTCAGTCTGGCTTCTGCCCCTTCCACCCTACTGAGACTGCTCTTATTAAAGTCACTAACGTCCTAATCGCAGCTAAATCCAAAGGGCACTACTCTATACTAATTCTTCTTGACCTCTCTGCTGCCTTTGACACTGTTGACCATGTTCTCCTTCTCCAAACTCATTAATCACTCGGTCTCTGTGACACTGTCCTCTCTTGGTTTTCCTCCTATCTCTCCCAACGCTCATTCAGTGTCTCCTTTTCTAATGATACCTCCTCCATTTTTCTCTGTTGGAGTCCACAAGGCTCGGTACTTAGTCCCCTTCTATTTTCTCTTTATACTGCCTCTCTTGGCAAACTTATTACCTTATTTGGATTCCAATACCACCTGTATGCTGATGACACTCAGATATACAGTTGCAAGAAAAAGTATGTGAATTCTTTGGAATGATATGGATTTCTGCACAAATTGGTCATAAAATGTGATCTGATAATCATCTAAGTCACAACAATAGACAATCACAGTCTACTTAAACTAATAACACACAAAGAATGAAATGTTGTGATGTTTTTATTGAACACACCATGTAAACATTCACAGTGCAGGTGGAAAAAGCATGTGAACCCCTAGACTAATGACATCTCCAAGAGCTAATTGGAGTGAGATGTCAGCCAACTGGAGTCCAATCAATGAGATGAGATTGGAGGTGTTGGTTACAGCTGCCCTGCCCTATAAAAAACACACACCAGTTCTGGGTTTGCTTTTCACAAGAAGCATTGCCTGATGTGAATGATGCTTTGCACAAAAGAGCTCTCAGAAGACCTACGATTAAGAATTGTTGACTTGCATAAAGCTGGAAAGGGTTATACAAGTATCTCCAAAAGCCTTGCTGTTCATCAGTCCACGGTAAGACAAATTGTCTATAAATGGAGAAAGTTCAGCACTGCTGCTACTCTCCTTAGGAGTGGCCGTCCTGTAAAGATGACTGCAAGAGCACAGCGCAGACTGAGGTGAAGAAGAATCCTAGAGTGTCAGCTAAAGACTTACAAAAGTCACTGGCAAATGCTAACATCCCTGTTAGCGAATCTACAATACGTAAAACACTAAACAAGAATGGATTTCATGGGAGGATACCAGAGAGGAAGCCACTGCTGTCCAAACAAAACATTGCTGCATGTTTATAGTTTGCACAAGAGCACCTGGATGTTCCACAGCAGTACTGGCAAATATGCCTTCTGAAGTGGCCCAGTCAGAGTCCTGACCTCAACCCGATTGAGATGCTGTGGCATGACCTCAAGAAAGCAATTCACACCAGACATCCCAAGAATATTGCTGAACTGAAACAGTTCTGTAAAGAGGAATGGTCAAGAATTACTCCTGACCGTTGTGCACGTCTGATCTGCAACTACAGGAAATGTTTGGTTGAAGTTATTGCTGCCAAAGGAGGTTCAACCAGTTATTAAATCCAAGGGTTCACATACTTTTTCCACCTGCACTGTGAATGTTTACATAGTGTGTTCAATAAAAACATGGCAACATTTCATTATTTGTGTGTTATTAGTTTAAGCAGACTGTAATTGTCTATTGTGACTTAGAGGATGATCAGATCACATTTTATGACCAATTTGTGCAGATATCCATATCATTCCAAAGGGTTCACATACTTTTTCTTGCAACTGTACCTCTCCTCCCCGGACCTCTCACCTGACATCCTGCAGTGGGTCACTCCTTGTCTTTCTTCCATCTCTGATTGGATGTCCTCCCTCTATTGAAACGTAATCTCTCTAAAACTGAACTCCTTGTCTTTCCTCCTCCTAATACTGATCCTCCTCTTTCTCTCTCCCTTTAAGTGAGTAGTACCCACATCAGCCCATCCTTGTAATGCTTGATTCTGGCCTCACATTTGAGCATCACATCCAGTCTGTTACCAAATAATGTAGATTCCACCTTAAAAACATAGCCCTCATCCACCCCTTTCTTACAGAAGATGCTACTAAGGAGCTTGTCCATACTCTCGTAATCTCTCACATGGATTATTGTAACTCACTCCTAATAAGTCTTCCCACAAGCTGTATTGCCCTGCTACAGTATGTAATTAATGCTGCAGCTAGACTGATTTTCATCTCCTGTCGCTTCTCTCCCTCTGTCAGTCCTTACATTGGCTTCCTGTATCCTATAAGACTCAATTCAAAGTACTAATCCACACCTATAATGCACTGACCAATTCTAGCCCCTCCTATATTTCTTCATTGATCTGCAGTTCTTGGTCTCTCCGCTCTGCCCATGACCCTTTCCTGTCTGCTGCTTGCACCCGTACAGCCAACTCACACGTGCAGGACTTCTTGTGGGTGGCTCCTTTCCTATGGAATAGCCTGCTTATGACCATCCAGCTCTCCCCTAGTCTCCAATCATTTAAAAATTGCCTCAAAACCCATCTCTTTAGGAAAGCTTATGGCCTCCCAGAGTAACCTCTACCTCACATATCTGTCCTTTGCTCTCTCCCAAAGGGCAACACTCTATTCTCTCATCCTGCTCTGCTTCACTCCACCTTGTTTGATTGCTACCTCCTGTCCTGTTGGGATTTACGCCCCATACCCTATAGACTGTAAGCTTGTATGGGCAGGGCCCTCTTCAACCTACTGTTCCAATAAGTTTTTGTAAATGCCTCATTTATTGTTAAATCACCCCTTTGATAATATTGTAAAGTGTGACGGAATATGCTGGCGCTATATAAATACTAATAATAATAATATGGGTTTTGGAGAGCATGGTGGACATCTTGGCTAATAAGTGTAGTAAAGACTGATAGATTTGTTTGTGATCTTATGTGCCATACAATGGGTTTCAAAGTGGGTTGGGTCGCGATGAGAAGCCGGTAGGTCAGGAATAGAGGAGATGAATTGTGTCATTTGAATATATCTAAATTGTTTCAGGGTTGTTTGGTTACCCCCAGGTGTCAGATCCTGGAGTGGGGTCGCCCTAGTAGATTGCTGCATTGTACCCAATGTGGCAAACCTAGCCACTTGGACTATATCAAGAGACTGTACCTTTAAGGGTTGCCTGTATGTCGGTGGGGATATGTGTTCCACTATGTATAGTGTATGCTGGCTGTAATACCTTGAATTGCCTGTATTTGCTATCCGCCGAATGCAGATAGCTATTTGTATTGGGTTTTCCTTTCGTTTCACGAACGGCACTTTGGCGGGCCGTTCGTGAACCGAAAACACTCCATATAATAGCCCACACACTTAGAAGGCTCTCCTAGGTGGCCGCCGTTCGACTACCGACCATGCGGCGGTCGGCCATCTTGGATCCTTTGTTCCCTCAGCGGTGTTGGGTCGTCGAGCGCATGGTACTAAAAACGGCTACTCGACGGCGCGAACACCGCTGAGTCTCCAGGCCGTTCGGGAGTTCCGGGCCGTTCGGTATTTCATTCCCTGGAAGGCAATCGGTCATTTTAATATGCTTTTCAACAAATGTGTTTTTCGTGCGGCGTTCGGTTGTTTTAGCTGGGATCTGAGCGGTAATCTCACGAATGATGCGCTCAGACCCCAGCTATCTACCGAACGTCCATTCGTGCAAATAGACTGCATATTCGAAAAGTTATGTATTTTAATATAAATTGTCGGTTCTGCTGCACGGAGGGATAATCCACTTAACGGTATATTCCAGTGGGAGGATCCCTCTCGTGCAGCAGTGCCTGATGGGAGAAATAGCTTGTACAAGAAGTCCCCCATGTAGTACCCTCTGGGAATGCCCCTGGGAAGGGACTCAGGAAACCCCTTGCATGGGGACTTGTATAAATTGTGGAGCTGAAATAAAAGACCTCAGTTGACTCTCAGAACTGTGTTTCATCCGGTTACTAGGAGATTTGGGATATTGCCTTGTTGTTTCCAGTGCTTGACTGTGGATTACTTCCTGAACAAGCGGAATTCGTGGATTTAATATTGGCGTTCCGCTACACCCAAGGTTAGGTATTTGGAGTCATGAAACGCCTCATAGGCGGTGGAGGAAAGTCCTGGTTGGAATAAAGGGTTTTGGGTTAATGGGTAAAGAAGAGATTTGTGGGAGGAGATCGATGGAAGGTGTATCACGCCCAGTCAGCTCCTCAGAGTGGGAATAATAGTCGGGTGGCATGTTGCGGGAATACAAAAGCCCTGCCCAACTTGTGCCAAGGAATGGTATATATTGGTAACTGGAACATGGATTCCTCCAGTTTCACCCATTGTTTAGTAGTGGTAGGATCTGACCATTTGTATACTCTGGTGAGAAAGACTGCATTTTGATAGGTTTCCAGGTTAGGAAGTCCCAGCCCTCCCAAGGATTTAGGCCTAACTAGAGTCTGGAATAGGATTCTGGGGTGTTTGAAGGCCCAAATGAATGACGTGAACAGTTTTCTAGCCTGTGTAAAGAATGATTTAGGGAGATTGATCGGGAGAACTTGTAGTCGATAGAGGAAGAGAGGGAGAACATTAATTTTTAAAATATTTACCTGGTATAGCCAGTTAAAGTGAAGCTTGTGCCATTGCTTTAGATCTCGGGTCACCTCCTGGAGAAGTGTCGGGAAATTATGCTCTTTTGTCAGAGTTTTGGGCAGCAACAATCCTAGATTTTTAATAGCTATAGGGGTCCATTTAAATGGGTATTGTGTTGTAATGGTGGCCCTCACTTTTGGGGCTACATTCAATGCAAGAATTTTGCTTTTAGCGAAATTGACTTGAAAGTTAGATAAATCCTTATACTATGAAATTTCTCGGATAAAACGCGGCATTGTATCTATTGGGTTGGAGACCATAAATGATAGGTCATTGGCAAATGTGGCAAGTTGGTGGTTATCATTTTTTATTTGCATCCATTGAATATTGGTGTTATCCCTAATGCAGTGTAAAAACAGTTCCATGACCAGGATGAAGAAGAGAGGGTAAAGGGGGCACCCCTGTCACGTGCTGTTTTTGATGTGGACTGGATCTGACAGCTGTCCATTGATTTTAAGTCTAGCTGTGTGCTTGGAGTAGATCGTTCCGAGCCACTTTATCCAATTGGGACCAAACCGTGCCTAGTAGCACGGACCAGTCCACCCTGTCAAATGCCTTCTCTGCATCGATAGAGAGAAGGAGAGATTGAGCAGTAGATAATGTAGAGAGATAGATCAAATTGAGCAACTTGTTGGTATTGTTTTTGGCCTCCCTCCCTGGTACAAAACTGGCCTCATCAGTGGGAACGTGCCCCCCAAGAAACGGGCGCAGGTGATTGGCTAGAATTTTAGTAAATGTTTTTAAATCCACATTTATGAGGGAAATGGGTCTGTAGCTGCCACATTCTGTGGAATCTTTTCAGGGTAACAAGCGCTTCGAGTGCAGAATGGGGAAGGTCTGTTTGGGAAGTGAGTTGAATGCTTTTAAGAAGGGTTGTGATAGTTCATGTAAGAACAATTTATAATATTTGGCTGTAAATTCATCTGGGCCTGGACCTTTGCCAGGTAATGGTCAAATGCAGTTCATCAGGATGCAGGAGTTCATCAAATGCTTTTAGGGCATTGTTAGGGATTGTGTGTTTGATCCTAGATTCCAGATATTGAATCATGTGCTCCCTAGGAGGTAGTGTGTCTCTAAGATTGTACAGGGATGTGTAGAAATCGTGAAAAGCTTTCATTATGGCGGGGATTAAGTTGCCAGAACCCGTTTTGACTTTTTCTATATATGTTTATTGTCGTTGTTGTTGGAGAGTAGTATTTATATTGGGTAAGCAGTAGCCTACATTTGATTTGCGTATTTAATAAGATTTGAAGTTTGGAACGCACATTAATTAAACAGTCAT